AGTTCTGTTTGGTTTGCATACTGGGGGAAGAATGGACTAATGGAGGAGGTAATGGTGTCTTAATAGCATCAGTTAATGGAGTCACAGAGGGAGAAGAGGAAGAAGAGGAACAGCAACCACAACAAGAGGAGAATGAGGAGGAGGAAGACAATGATGATCAGGAGGAGGAGCAAAATGAGGAGAGAGGCAAAGAGGAAGAAGAGGATGATAATGATAGTAACAGTGATGATGATACCAGCACCAGCAGTACTCCACCAGGGGCTAGTGGAGCATGTAAAGGTTAGTTAATGAGCTAATGTAATCTATTCCACTACTGAATAGAGTCTACTACTAACCTCCCAACCAATACAGTGTCTGTTGCTGGTCCTACTACTACTAACAGTAAATACATGTACACACTCCATTGCTATTTGCTAATATTATATTAGCACAGTCCACTGGTGTAAGGAAAGCTGTAACATATGCTGGTCTGGTTTATTATGAGGAAGATGGTGTAGAGGATTTGGTGACTTTTACTGCAGCTAAGAATTTAGAAGCACTCATTCATGTAAGAATGTATTTTTATACACACAATGTGTTTATTATTATTTGATAGTATATTGAGCAGAAGTGCTCTCAAGCTAAAATTGGACCTGATATTTCCTTTAGTTTCAAGTTTCCTTATGATTACATTGAATTAAACTTTACTGCACCTCAAAAGAAACCATTCACTGGATGGACACTTAATCCTCACACTGATCCTTGCAGAGTAAGCTAATTGTTATTTTAACACTAAGTCATTTTTTGTTACAGTTATATCAAGAGGCCATTGATAAATTTGGTGATAAGGAGCATTCTCGTCCTTCATGTTGTCTCATATCAGTTTACGGATCACCTGATGCTGTCCCTTTTCTTAATTACTTCATACCACTGGAAGGTGTGGCTCGTCCAGTTTCATTAAACGTCCATAAAGCACAAAGAAACTTCACAGTTCCTGTCTCTCCTACAACAAGTAATAGATGAATCATTTCAATTGTTTACTTAATATTAATCAGATCCTACTACATCCTCCTCCTCTTCTAATACAATTACTGAAGCTACTGCATCATCCACTGGAGGAGCTAGTAAGTAACAGTGTGTGTGTGTGTGTATGTGTGTGTGTGTGTGTGTGGGTGTTTATGCATGGTTTGTGTGTCAGTATTGGGTTATATTGACCTTTCACTTCTGCCATAGGTGCACCAGCTACTGTTGATGTTAAAAAAGTTAAGAAAGTTATTAATGATGTTCTTGTATCTCATCATGCTGATCTCAATTCTCTTAAGACGTCTCTCTCAGATCTTGCTAGTCAGTTGTATACAGCTGGACTCATCAGTGATGAAGTTAAAGAAACTCACTCTATGGAAACATTCATTGCTGAATTCAAGGCTAGTCTTAATTTTAAGAGGAAGTTGCCTCAAGTGGA